TGTACCTATTCTCCGAAGAAATACAAGTGGCAGGTCAATAGAGCAAACCCTATAGGACACAGAGTAATTTTTTTTTCTTTTCCTTAGCTTGCTTCTTAGAGTTTCTGGAATCAGTTTTAAAATGCCATCAAATTCCATATTTGGTCAACTCAAACCTCACAGAACAACAACCGGCAAGCAGTTCGGGTGTCATTCGACGCAGCTTTTTCTCCTCTTTCTAGCGGTCCTTTTTTGTTTCCTATTCATCAAGTTTTCCGGGATAAAGTCATCATAATTTAACTTTTCCAAGGCACCCCAAGGTGTACCCGAAATTTGGGAAAGTTGCTAAACCGAAGCGGTAATCGCTCATTTGCTTTGTAAAGTTAGTGTAAAACCATAATCTATTTTTGTAAGTTTCAAAATCCGACGATTTCTTGGTGTTTGATGCATTTGTGTCTGAGACGAGCCTGCTAAAATTCGGTGCTTCCATCAAAAAATCTATACAGAAACTATGACGAGCTCTGAAAAGTAGAAAAAAGTTGTGCTGTTTGCCGTAGGGTTTACTCTATCTATACATAACTTGGACTCCTTCCGGAGGTTGTTATGAAAATTTGGAAACATTGTGAAACTTGGCCATCTCAAAAAGCATAGGCCGCAGATTTTGACTCTTTTCTGGAAGCTCATTGACTGTATTGCAACATCTTCATAACCTTTAGAAAGAGAATGAAACGCTGCATCAAATGCTACCAGAATCTCTTACACAATTTTGTTCCACGAAATGTGGCGTACGTTTGAAAAAAGCGACATTACTTTCGGAACGACCTAATATAAGATAAATTCAATAAACCTTGCAATTTCCCAATTATCAAGTACTGAAAGAAATCGATTATGTGCTGAACCGTCACAAAAGAATGACAACTAATGTAGAGGTGCCCCACTAGATTCAATGCTGGAAGTGATCTTCTTCTGATTCGAGCTGACGTTTTGTACTACATACCAAATCACATTCAGAATTCGCTTTCATGAATTACCCCTGATTATTGTGAGCTCAAAATGAAAATAGCATTACTTTTTGACCATTTTATCACTTTTTGTTAGATTCCATCTTAGAATGCAGTGCTGAATGAGCCGATAAACCCTTGGAGGAGGATGCACATCTTTTTCAAAGAAGTAGCCGCTTGCGCAGGACGTTGTAGACCGCTGGAACAGGTATTTGAGACAAACCCGGCTTTTTCTTGTCTAAGACTTGAGTTAAAGTTTGGACTGAAATTCAGGAAAATTTTCAGTGCTCATATACACTACGCAACTGTCTGCAAGGTTGCTCGTTGGTCCATAAAAGATGGTATTAATCAGCATCACCCTCTCGTTTTGGAACATGCCATCAGATGCAATCGCATAAAGCGTGGTCATTTGAACTTATCCGGCAACACTTATATTGCACCGACCAGATGAAACAGTGACCATCGGCTCCACAGACGCTCAATCTCCGCAGCTGCTAAGTATTGGCAAAAAGTCGTGACAGCCCAACTCGCAAATGTCGCAAATAGATAACTTGAAGAGACAATATTGTAACGGTTAGGCATTCATATAGCTAGTTTATTGTGTTTGTTGTTATTGTTGTTTTGTAAATTAATTCTTGTCATGTTTGTTCATTTTGTATGTAATCTCTCGCGCACTTCTTGTTTGAATCCATAGAGTCATTTTCCCACGCTTGATGAGTCCCTGTGATGCTTATCCTTCGATGCCTTGGCTATGCGCGCATTACTCGTAATCGATAGTCACTCCCCTTTTCTACATTTGTCTCAAACAACTACTACAGTGCCCGTGTAATCCTGATAAAGAGATGTAGAGAAGCATGTAGGCATGAGATGTCTTCTGCAACGTACTAAAATTTCTTACAGACAGAAGTGTGGCCGTTAACTTGAGGCATCATTACTTCAACACTGTAATCCTCGACTCTTATATATGGCTGTGAAACCTGGGGCAATATTTATCAGCCTCTTATATAGGAAGGGGTTCCTGCACCGGTAACAGCCCGTGCAGGCGCGGGTACTGGCGCCCGCTCGCGATATACGAAGCAAAGCTGATGATCGGGCTCCTGTCTACTGGCATATGGTCCGATCTGGCAAGCTTGGCCATGTCGGGTACGGCAGTCGGCAGCAGAGCTCGATCTTGGCAGGTCGGGCCTCGCTGCCCAACTGCCATGCCCGGCATGGCCAAACTTGCCAATTTGGACCATTCTAAAGTTTGATAAATCATGGGATTGGCGCACCCGCCTGTAAGGGCACTCGTTGATAATGGCTTCCCCAGCTAGTGGGAGATTGATAAATATTGCCTTAAACCTAAGGCCTAAGGCAATACCTACGCGATTCTGGTCGCTCGCGATTTTCACGATAGCGACTCTTCGTAATTCGTCGTTAATGCGCTGCCTTTGGTCAAAACTTGCTTTGTTTGCAGCGACTTACACAAGCTACCCAGATATGCGTCCGAGAAGTGCGCATGATGAATTTACAGAAACCTGGCAAATCGCCAAGTCGCGTTAAAGTGGCGAATCGGCCGAATCGCGCGAGGTAATGCCTTAGGCCTAAGGCATCCTCACGCGATTTTAGTCGTCGCGCGATTTGGCACTGCAACGACACTCCATAGCTGGTCTTAAACGTACTTTGCTTGCGCCAGACTTGCTGCGGTTGTTACAATCTACGGAATCTACGCATCATGCATCTGCGAGCCTCGCATGCTTAATTCCCAGACATCCGGCAAATCGCCAAGTCGCGGGGATTTGGCGATTTCGCGAAATCGCGAGAGGTATGCCTTAGGCCTTAGACCACAACAAGAAATGCAAGATGTTGAAACCTCTCCGATGTCAAAGGGCGATGGAAAGATCGTAGCTTGAATTTTGTTTGAGAGACCACAAATTGTCGAATCGGATGCTCCGTCACAGAGCTCAAAAACATTGTTGCAACTGCACTGAAGAAGAAAGTGGAGAATGGCAAGAAAAATTCTAGCGAGTCAAGGGGAAGGAGGGCAGGTAATGGTAGTTGTTTTGGTGACGGCAGGCCCAGAAGGAGATGGGAAGACGACATTCGAGCCCACTGTATTACCTCCAGTGTCACTCCTTACTGGCAAAAGAACCAAAAGAACACTCGATCTTGAAACTCAGAAGATTTTTTGGGTAAACTTTTCGAAAAATTCAAGAGTGCTCTCCGTGACAGGCTTCTATTCAACCGCCCGCACGTTGGTCTTTGAAGCAGGATAAGTAACGAGATTTTACAGAGCCCAAGAATAGTATAATTTGCCGTGAGCACTATTCGCTTGCCGGATGCTGCGAACTGACACTTACTAAACTCTATCTATTGAATACTATTGTGTGACCCATTTCCCTACTGTAGAATCTCATTGTGCAGAAAGCAATTGCGTTCAGATCGCATACCCGCGAGGGAAAATACGCGATCTTCGAATTTGATATGCAACCTGTAGCGTAGCGACCGCTGAAGAAGATAGGAGCTTGGGTTGAACACGATTTGCTAGAATTTATCACTTTAGACAGATGAGCAAAAGATGCAGGAGGTTGCAAGGGATATAGTATTCATCATATTCCACTTACTAAATCTTTCTAGCTGCGCTACTCCATCACGAAATTCTGTCTACACAAAAAATTAAGCTTGCTGTATTCGAATAAGTTACACGAGTTCTATGTATCAACATAAAGTGTACTTTTACAGCATTACATGATGACATACATTGAGTTATCTCAAACAGCAATTGAATTGATCCTCGCGCGCAGACTGGCTGCAGGCATCCGAGTAAATTCACCTTACATATACTCTGTCCTCAATCGGTCACGAGTATATTTGCTCTTACGTAGCGCTAAGGTTTGCGCTGTGCAATGGCACTATCGGAGAGAGCAAGAAGATTGCAGAGAGAGCAGACAAGCAGACCATAGGCGTGTAGCAAAACCTTATCGAAGCGGACTCCCATGTCGGTTGATTTTATAATTGGGACAGACTGTATCACATTTACCGCATCTTCGGCTGTGCTACCAGCAATCGACGCAACCTGATTTCACGAGTATAGGTGCGGGAAATTTTTTTTCTGAAATCCAGCACAGCATGCCAAAAACTTCGCGACCAAAGAACTATATACAGTGCTGCTTACTGCCTGAGAGTATCGTGCGACATAAAACTCGATTACCAAAATACTGCGAGGTGACTGAGCGGTTGGCTTGAAAAATCGAAAAAAGTGCGTCCTAGACTTCTGGAATTAGAGTAGATGTTTCACCAAAACACTGCGTAATCCGTCTCAAAACGGCGCCGCAGTAATCCGCGGACTGCCGCAGCTATTCGTGGTTTTTTTTTTACAGGATACGAGTTTTATTATAGGTGTACAATCCACATGTAGCGCAAAAATGAGATTTTGCAGTTTATTTTTTCTAGGATAAAAATTAGGCCATGCTATTGCTGACCATTGTAAATGAAATTATTATTTCAAAGAATCTTTTGAAAAACTGAGAAAAAATGATGGTTGATATGGGAGAGGTGGGGAAAGTGTGGTATTGCACATTTGGCATACATCACTTCTTAGAATCACGTGAAATCCAAAGAGATGCCTGAAATTGCAGCTGACTCACTGCTAGTTTGAGGGTCTCTGTTTCAAGGTCTGTCTTAAGTGCTTATCCCAAAGATCTTGCAAAATATTTACAGACTCTCATTTCCTTTGCCGGTCTTTTAGGCATGAAATTCTTAAACTAATTTTGCTGAATTTAGAAAAAGTAACTATTCGGTCGCGATTTTTCTTGATAGCTTCGCAGAGTGCAAACTTTTTTTACATAGCGTTTGGTGAGGTTGATGATTACACTAACAAAAAGACTTTGTGTGCAAATTTTTTAGAGCATCCGCTATCCGAAACCTGACATATTCGTAAAGAGCACTTGTCAAGCCTACAAAAGCGAAATTGTCGATGATTTGATAACATTATAAGTTTTAAGCAGTCAAAACATGAATGTTTCCACTCTTTCAATATTTTCATGTGAGGAAAGCATACAGAATCACCTCTTCATCATTCCTAGCTTCCGTCGTCCAGATAACTTCTTCTATGTCTTTCCTGCTAACATTCTTGACAAATTCTCTATCATCCAAAACTCCTAAATGACAAATATGACTTATACATGTCGTGACAAGGAAGCTTACCCTCAAAAAACAACCAGAGCATTTCGAGAGCTTTGCGTTCCTTGCTGAGACCAACTTCCGTAGCAGAATTATTCGCCTCGACAAGAGAAAACTCTAAACTAGTACCCTGTTTTGAGGTGTACAAGTCGCACTCTGATTGCTCTAAGCAAACAGTCGGAAGTCTTCTGCATAGGTCCCTTTTCCGTAGGGCGCATTAATTTGATTAGGTCGTAAGAGAGAAGGGGAACGCTTCGCAAAGCGCTTGCGCAGCTGTATGCTCGGTTCCGCTCTCTAATTAGAGCAAGCAGTTTGCGGCTTGTACAGCAGAAAGTAGATCCTAGTGTTCTCACACAACTGATAGAGGTGCTCACCCATAAATAACTCCGTAACATTGAGCACGTCACTCGTATTCCACGCAGAGGCAGCATTTGAAAGAGAGAGAATGGCAATGAGTAATTCTATCATCTCTGAAGATATTTATATAGATTGTTCGAAATCAGCGCCAAAAAGACCATGTACGGATATTCGCAACTGAGAAAGTTGGTTGTTTTTCTATAGCGGTTATTAGGTAGCAAACATTATTTTAGAAAATGAAACTGTCACTTACATACGTAGTGACAAGTTGTTATTCGGTCATATTTTGTTGATCACTTCAACTGAAATGAGCCACCAGCCACCACCTAGCTTGCAGTTGTTGTGAGTCATTTTATGTTTTTGTAAAATGTGTGCTTCACGTTTAGGTGAAGGAGGTACACGGTACTGAACAATTATGAATCCATGTTGTAAATGATCGTATTTTGCTTTCTGTTAACTAAATCTGATATTTTTGTTCTATAGATATGAAGAAAATCTCATTGGTTAAAAGGGATTCCGATCTTCCGATTTTAAGCGAAATAGAGAAAAGAAATTAGGATTTTTTGGGGATGTCCCAAAGGATCAAGCCAAAGTCAAGTTTCTTTTTCCTTCAAATGGATGAAAAAAGTGGTAATCACAGTGAAAATCCCTTGAGGCAGTCTTAAGCATGTTGAGAACAGTAAAATGGAAGAGTATTCTTGATAAATCACTACTTGCAAAAAGTTGTTTATCGAAGATTTAGTCATCCCCAGAACTCACTCATCTGTGTGTATTGGTGAAACTAAGTTGGCACTATATTTGTTTCGAATAGAAAATCCCACCTCTGAACCGTTCCAAACCAATTTTTGTCATATACTTTGGGCGGGAAGGGTGTTGCAGGCTACAAGAGCCATCAATCGATCTCAAATTTCAACGATTGTTTTGCAAACTTCCAGCTAAGGGGCTGGGAGTTAAGGGGGTAGGTGGCGCTGATTACGAATATGCCAATCGTCTTTGAAAGTACCCAATATCTTCATCATTTTTGGAACTTTAAGCTGTGGGGAACAGTTGGCAAAGGGGTGGATGGGGGGGGGGGGCATGTGAGCATGCGCTAATTCTGCACAATTGCCGTTTTGAGAATACCTAGTACTTTTGAGATCTCCATCGATTTATTTGCAAACTTTGGTCTACGGAGCTGTGAGTTGCACAGGTTGGGGTGAGTGAACATGTAATTGCAGTAACCATATCTTCGATAGCTTAGAGACAGGGCGCCAAAAGTGAAGGTTGTTTGAACATCTGACGTCATAAACAGTGAAGGTTGTTTGAACATCTGACGTCATAAACAGTGAAGGTTGTTTGAAGAAGATTAGAGAAGAGAAAATGACATAAAACAGATATAAAAAGCGAAAGAAACCGTTGTAAACCGGATAAAAATGCTGCAATAAGGTTTGAAATCTTTTATTTGGCGGCTTTTCAGAGTGCAAGTTTTCGCTCGAGGACCAGCAATTCGCAACACGGGGCCTTGATTTTTGACGCGTCCTTTAAATTTTTACCCCGCATTGAGTTCCTGTTTCCTGAGACATTGTCTGGATTGCTGCGCTTATTGTTCTAAACAGCAATTGCCCAAGCTGGAAAAAATCGATGCCAAAGCACTGAAACAGAACAAGGTAAAGAAAAACGCACTTTTTACGATTATTCGCAAAAAATTCCACCATAATCAAAGAGGTAAGAGCTGCTCAGACAATCGCTGGGGGCAGGCGGGCACCGGAAAAATAGATTGCTGATTTCTCGCACCCCGCTCGCGGATTTTTTGGAAGAAGATTAGAGAAGAGAAAATGACGTAAAACAGATATAAAAAGCAAAAGATAAAGCTAGCAATAATTTTAGTCTGATATGTATCAAATTTTATATACAAAAGTTGATGAATGAACTAGGCATTAATTTGCTAGGACCAAATTTACAATTTTCACAAAATTCAACATATGACATATACAATAGAAAATAATACAGAAATTGTCAACAGACACAAAATTTTTTGCATTAGCAATAAATTGCACATAGGAAAAGTTAACAATATTTCTCTCATATATGCAGTTCCAAAACTACACAAAACACCTGTCAAATTCAGATTCGTAACTGGTGCTACACACAGCAGTATAAAACCACTAGCTATAGAATTGAAAATGATTTTCACATTCATTAAAAGTCATTTCAAAAAATACTTGCAAGCTATAAAAAATAGAAATCATAATTTCAATGGATACTGGGCTATGGATAACATCAATATCAGCGAAAATCTGGCAAATATTAACGTGAAAAATATAAAGATTTTCCCAGCTGATTTTACAAATATGTTTACAAGCCTACCACACGACATTATAAAATCCAATATAAAAGAACTTTTGGAACTATGTTTCAACAATGCAAATGAAAAGTACATTATAATTAATGGAAACAATAATATTTATTAAAGCAGCGATACTACACATTTTAGTACAAAATCCAGATCTTATATTTTAGCAGATTTACTCTATTTAGTAGACTATATTCTAAATAACAGTTTCTGTCGCTTTAGCGTTTATACTTTGAAACAAAAAGTTGGAGTTCCTCAAGGTGGTAACTTTAGCCCACTATTAGCAGATCTTACACTTTCCTGGTGCGAATATAAATATTCCATTAAAAATATCACAAACAATTTCCAGTAATACCTTATAAATATATGGATGATCTATTACTTATTCATAACGTGGAAGAAAATACTATCCACAACTTAGTCAAAAGAATTTACGACCATAAACTTCAAATAGAAGCTACACACTTAAATACCTACAGCTGTAACTATCTCGACTTGAATACTGAAATAATAAACAATAAATTAATCACAAAGTTATATAATAAATCTGACTATTTTCATTTTAACGTTAAAAGATTCATACATTTTACATCTGGTATCTCATTCGACATTGAAAAAGCAACCATATATACAGAAACTCTTAGAATAGCAAGAACATGTACATACTTAAACGATTTTCTGCGAAAAATTTCACAACTCAGAGATATACTACTTAGGAATGAATATGACGTAATTACAATATCGTCTTCAATTTTCAAATGCCTACATAGAAATCCATTCATACTATATAAATATAATGTATTCAATGATGAATTCAAAAAATTTTGAAATCGAAAATATAGTACAATATAAATGAATATAAATTATGATCAACCGATATACAGTGACCAACAAAAAGTTGCGGACAAGCCTTCCTTCCTTTTTCATCGCTCTTTTTCAGGGTGGAAACAAGGATGAAAAAATGTGATAATTGAATGAGGTGATAGAGCTCTTCAAGATCTATAATCTACGCTTTGAGTTTCTTGAGAAACATGTGTTCTATAAATTTTAAGAATCTTTTTCTAAAAAAAGTCCGAAAATGGCCGCGTCACAATGTCGCGGACAATAATTCTTCGAATGCAAAAATTTTCTTTTGAGTCCTATTTTAAAGCGAAAACACAAGTTATCCGGACGGGTAAGCATAACTACTATACAGAGCTCATCAAGAACTACACACTGGTTATGGTTGCTTCCCCAAAAAACGCAAGCTTGAGTTTTATTATAGTTTTTTCAAAAAACAACTTCTAATTTCCTTCTTTAAGCCAAATTTCTTCGCATGAGAACCTATTCAAGGCATTCCAACAAAGCTGTTCGGACAGAATGGATGCTCTTTGCCATTCTTTATGCACGTGAGACGTGTGCTGGTGAGATTCTTTGCTGAAAATGGCTCTTGGCAGTGCTTGCACATGACCCCATCTGCACCTCACCACTGACTTGTACCGCTTTGCAGGCTTGTAACTCGGCCTGCAGCCAATAATTGAGCCTGCAATTAGGCTCATTCGAAAGATCGAGACTTCCTCTACACGACGGGGTATGCAAAAAAGTTCAGTTTGAGCAATCCCAGAGGTTTGGCGGATGGGGTGGTAGAGGGCAGCTTCAGTTGTAGTCTAAGCACTTTTCAGCTAAAGTTAAAGGGAGCTCCTTTCGCTACCAATTTCATCCTGGAAGTTCGAAACTGTCAATTTTCTTGTAATAGATCTATTCCGAAGCTCTAAGACTGTTCTGGTGTTCATAACAGCTTTCACTTTAATCACCTCTAAGGCTGCATTTTTTCACCCCATCCGCCAAATCTCTGGGATTGCTCAAACTGAACTTATTTGCATACCATCGTGTAGAGGAAGTCGCGTTCTTTCGAATGAGCCTCAATTATTGATTGCAGGCCGAGTTGCAAGCCTGCAAAGCGGTACAAGTCAGTGGTGAGGTGCAAATGTGGTCATGTGCAAGCACTGCCAAGGGCCATTTTCAGCCAAGAAACTCATCGGCACACGTCCGATGCATAGAGGATGGCAAAGAGCGTCTATTTTATCCAGATGGCTTTGTTGGGATGTCTTGAACAGGTTTCCGTGTGAAGAAATTTGGCTTGATAAAGGAAATTAGAAGTTGTTTTTTGAAAAAACTAAAATAAAACTCAAGCTTGCGTTTTTTGGGGAAGCAACCATAACCAGTGTGTAGTTCTTGATGAGCTCTGTATAGTAGTTATGCTTATCCCTCCGGATAATTTGTGTTTCCGCTTTAAAATAGGACTCAAAAGAAAATTTTTGCATTCGAAGAATTATTGTCCGCGACATTGTGACGCGGCCATCTTCGGACTTTTTTTAGAAAAAGATTCTTAAAATTTTTAGAACACAGTTTCTCAAAAAACTCAAAGTGTAGATTGTAGATCTTGAAGAGCTCTATCAGCTCATGCAATTATTACACTTTTTCATCCTTGTTTTGTTTCTGAAAAAGAGCGATGAAAAAGGGAGGAAGGCTTGTCCGCAACTTTTTGGCGGTCACTGTATATGAAACAAAGTATAAATGATATACTCAACACATGATAACACAATGAAAATGAACAAGTCAAGACAAGTACATTCTTGCTTCGCTACTGAGAAGATCATACGACAAAGAAGAAGAATTGGACGACAATCCGAGTATACAAGATGAGTTTTACAGTTTTTTCAAAATATTCTTTTGAAAATCAAACTAGACCCTCTCTCCTTACTGAAGAGTCCCGAAGAGGGTCTAGATCTCAAAAGTCCG